GAATGATATCTATGAGCTGATAAAAGCTTGCAATACAGTTGTTGTTTACGAGGCGATTAGTTTGTGTGCGTGTGGGGTATTCATTGTGAGGAATAATTTAATTATATGGAAGTAAATATATATGCTGTATATTTTCCTGATGTGGTATATACAGGTTATGCCTATGCGATGTAAGCGAATGTGTATGAGGTGAAGTGTAATTTGTAAGTACGTATCTGATGCGTGGTTAAGGTTGTTCCTAAATAAATAAAGTTTTATTTATCACTTGTTGTGCTCTTAAATATTAATTACATCTTTGCTTTTACTAATAGTCTTAATGACATTTCAGAAAAAAAACCATAAAGATGTGAGGAGTCTACTGTCAAATCTAGAGGGTCGATTGAGATGTCATCATGAGGTTCATTTTTATATGTCCTTTAAATTTAAGTTGTATTATTAATGTCATATTCTTGAGATCAATATTACGGTCTATAAATAAGCAGAGCTCATGGCAAGCCATACCACTAAGGGGTTTGATGAATTTTTTTTATATGCTTATTTTTATAAAAAGAAAGGTGTATGAAAAAAAAAAATAGGGATTATATATATTGTACCCTAGATTGGGGTGTTACACATCTCTTATCAAATTATTTCTAGAATGACAGGGCAATAACTGTTAATTGTGTTTATCTGGTCAACTTCAATTTATTCGTGTTTTCTATTTATTTAATCCATTTATTGTTTGTGTTAGCAAGTGGTGTCTTTTTTCAAATTTGTGTAAATAATTAGTCAACCATAACCATTAATTATGTGTCAGTCCAAAATGAACATCCTTATCAAATCTTCTATTTCATTGATGCTGAATATAACAATTAGTTGACTCAATAAACAAGTGACTAGCCACTGATGAATTCAATTTAAAAAATTCTAAAATTGTATAAGAAGTAAATTAAAACCTCAAAGCAAATCAAATTTGTGTAACCACCGTCTCCATCTCTCTGTTTTTTTTCTAAATTGAAATACACTAGTTTAATTCATGGGTTTTTTCGGGCAAGTTTAAAAAAAAAATCAGTGACAGCTAATTGACTCAAATTTTCATTTCTCTGTTTTCGAATCTTCACAGACACCCCTTGTCAATGCGTCGAGTGATGGGAATAACATAAATATGTCTTTTACCTTTATACCCCTATGCTTGAGATTGATTTACAAGAATCTCCAATCGTTAAATATATCCAACGAACAAAATTAAATTCTATATCTATATATATATAAATATATAGGTTTGTGTTGAATACTATTTAACTCGAACCCAACCCATTTAACTAGTCTAGTGCATCACATAAGTTTTCATTTGTTCACAACCTATTGCCTTGTATGTTTGACTAATCTAATAGCTCAAGATTAAGTCTATTGAGCGCATTCTTATAATATGAAATTATTCACTTTATTATTTTATTCTGATTTGGCATTCTCACACGTGAAGCCTATACCACTGAACTGATGTATGCTAGTACAAATGAAAGGCGGCAACTCCAAATCCAACATAAAACATGGTATGCCTATTCAATCAAATTTTAATCAGGTGCGTTTTACAAAAATTACACTTATCTTCAACTTTTTATGGATATTGAAAACATACTAATATCATCTTATTTTGTTCTTATGTGCAGATTAATTGTTGATGGTGTGAGTTGTTTACAACGGATAAAACCACACTTGTGTCTCTTTTATTTATTTCTTTCCGTACTTATGTCTTTTATTAAGTGAAAAAACACTTGTTTGGGACACTTATTTTGTATTTTCTTGGATGATATTTTTATTTGGGAAAAATTGATTTTAAGTTCTTTGGTTAAGTTATTATATTAATTGTCATACATTGTTTGAATGTGAATGACATGATAATACATTATTGGGATTGTAACACGTCTTTTATCAGGTTATTTTCATGGGTCAATTTTTATGCAAAAAAAATATAAAGATATTTTTTGAAAGAGTTTGAATGACGAAATGAGAATTCGTCTCCAATCTCAACTTCTAGTGGCAAATTTTTTTCACCTCATACCTTCACACAATTAAGGACTCTATAATTTGTGACAACCTTAATTTGACACTAAAGGTCCACAGTTGGCGATGAAATAAAAATTCGTCTCTAGACGTAAACTTTGAATGACGACAACATTTGTTACTATAACATAACTTATAATGACAATATACTCTCATCACTATATTTGTACTTTCAGTGATGCTATTATCTTTTTAATGACAAATCTTTTAGGTCTTTTTTGACCATTTTGTTTGTCACTAAATGCATTTTTTAGTGATGAAAGAGTACTATCACTACAAAGTGTAGAATTAGTGACGGAATTATAATTTGTCACTATAGACAATTAGCAACAAGCTTCTAGTGACCACCTCGTGACGACAAAAAATCATCACTAAAACTCTTTAGTGACAAAATGCGTATTTATAATAACAAACACTTTACGTTTGCTAATGTATTAATTCGCTTTACTTAGTATAGTTTGCATGTTAAGCCTTGGTTTATATATAGGTTGAGATTAAACATTAATAAGATGACAAGTGATAAGTTAGGATTAATAAGATGACAAGTGATAAGTTAGGATTGAGTTTGCTCGGAGAAGATAAACCTGGGAGCCTTAGAAGTATTTTGGAAGAAAAGAAAAGTTCTGCCGATAGGTATTATATCAATAGGAAGGCAAAAAAATGAAGGTTCTACCGATAGTAAGACGGTTCTATTGGTAGCAAAACTTACAGAAGTATACATCTTTTTAATCACAGAAGTTCTACCGGTAGTTAAACATGTTCGACGTGTAAAAAAGTTCCAAATATGATTAGTATTTTTTTTTTTTTATTCAATGAGTTATAAAGTGGAATCCAATAAATTTAAAAAAAAAATTTATTTTTCAAACATCACTAAAAATCATTCTCAATCACAAAATTCTACAAAAATTGAATTCTAACTAGTTTTTATTCTTTTTTCTTATAATTAGAACAACAAATCTTGGGACACATACAAAGTTTTCATAATTATATAATAAAGTATGAGCGATGAAAAAATAAATTTGATAAATTTAATATAATATTTAATTCAGGTACACATATATCTAACACTTTTTTATTAATTGTTGTATATGAAAACTATTTATGTGCAACGTACGCGGTACAGTGCTATACACCAAAAGTAAACGAAAAAAAAAATACAAACTCATATAATAGAACAGTAAAAATATACATGCATACATTAGCACATCAAAATATACACACACAAATATTAATATGCCAAAATGGAAATAAACTACTACACAAAAATGCACACATACACACAGGTCCAGGTCGGGTCCAGGTTTGGGTCTGGGGCCGTGTCCGAGTCTAGGTGTGGGGTTGAGTCTAGGTATGGGGTTGGATCTTGGTCTAAGGGTCGAGATCCAAGGTCCGAGTCGAGTCTAGGTACAAGGTTGAGTACAGGTTTTGAGTTCGAGTCGGGTCTACGGGTCCAAGTCCAAGTTCAGTCTGAACCCAAGTTCAATGTATGTGTGTTTTGGTGCATTAGTGTGTATTTGTGTATTTTTTATGTATTACTGTATGTATGTGTGTTGTGATGTAATAATGTGTGTTTATATATATTTTAGTGTATTAGTGTGTGTGTGTTTTGGTGTACTAATAATATTTGTGTGTTTTGGTGTACTAGTGTACGTGTTTTTTTTTTTAATGTATTAGTGTATATGTTTATTTTTTTTGTTATATTAGTGTGTATATTTTGGTGTATTAGTGCATGTGTGTATATTTTTTGGTGTATTAGTGAGCGAGCGTGTGTGTGCATTCTTTGGTATTATATTGTGTATTTGATTTTATTAGTTTTTGTTATTTAATAGAAAAAAAAATACTCAATTCAATCGATACCCATTTGCAATACATCTTAATTTGTTTACTTAAAATGAATCTTATTACCCAACCCATTTAGGACTTGCATTAATTAATATAAGTACTTATCCCATTAAATTATGTGCGGGTAAGAGGATTAATGGATAATGACTTAAGATTGTCACCTCTAATTTTAAAATCTCCAATTTTAACTCAATTTTTAACTCAAATTTGAGTAAAAGGCTTAATTAAATACAAATGACTCCAATGGATATACTTAAATTTAAAGAAGTACAAATTTAAATTTAAAGGATAACAAACTAAAATGTAAAAGAGAGCAAAATATGACCATTGAATTTTTAAAGGAGAATAAAATATGACCATTGATAATTTGACTGAAAGTTTTAGCCTTCCTTGATCCAAGTAAAAATTTGAGTGTCCTTAATTTAGTATAGAACAAATTAAGTCAGATTTTTAGATCCAAACAGTATTACTCTTTGGTGTATGTTAGAAATATAGGATTGATTAAAATTTTTTGATAATTTTTACTTAAATTTAATTTTAAGTCTAAATAAAGATGACTGTAAATGCTCTTAATTGTTTTATATTAAAATTGAAATGATTATATCATTAATCGTTATTTTACTACTATGTTATGTATTTGACCTTGAATGGATGGGAAATAGTATAAAGTAAAATGATGTCCAAAAAATTTGAATACAAAAATTAATTAATAGTTTTGTTTGTTTGACTAACTATTGTTTAATATTTAAATAATAAATATTATATATTATTACAATAAAAATTAACAAGGCCGCCTCAATTTGCCTAGGGCCATCCCTGACCAGGGGTGATTGAAGGAGAGGGAAGGGGCAACTAATTAGCATAATAGGCAGTAGATGTGAGGGATCGTGAGAGGAGAACAGTAACAATGCGTGTGTTTGTGTGTGTGAGAGAGACAGAGCACAGCTATGCAACTGCAGCACCTAAATAAGGATGGCCAAATAATTGTGGTAAAACCTACACCGTGGCAGTGTGCAATTAGGGGTTGGATACCTCAAGGAGCAACGGCAATTTCCTCTTCCCCAGCTCACCATCACCTTTCATACAAGCCTCTAATTTTGAAAAGAACCAAGTATATGCAATAATATGAAGTACCAAAACGACAAAAGCAACCACTTGAATCATGTCAAATTCGTACCAAGACGAAAACCACTAAAATAACCAACATCTCTGATAACAAAACCACCAAACCCAATTCTTTTGAACAGCAATAATACAACCTAATAATATGTAAAACTGAGCAACATAGCAGCAGTTCGACTCTATGAAGATGTACTAACACCCCCAAATGAAATCTATAATAAGGCACAAACGGAACATACAGAAGCTCGCGGCTATTGTCTGTCACCCGCCTCACGTTTTGAAGCTTCCTTGATCTCATCCCCGGTTTCATCCTGAAATAAATGATACATAGACCAGAAAACAGTAACACCACGGTAGAAAAAGACTTTGAACGAAATTCAAAATGGGCCAAATGATGCTTGAGACCTTAATAACAAAACCCTAAGTCATTTCATACCACGTACACATAATCTCGCTGATGCAATCTATGAGATACTCAAGAAAACACAAATTCAAACATGTAGAAAATAATGGAATTAACTTGTTATCAAGACAAAGATCCATATAAAACCTTGCATTACTATATTTTGAGTATTATTTTAACTTAGCTCAAGTCAATTTGCTAGTATTAATATTTTATATATACTTTTAATAGATTTTAGACTCAAGGGTATTTTTGTAATTTTTATAATTTCTAGAATGGGTCAGAGTCTTTTGGGTCAAAATTTAGTATTGGATATACTAGAATTTAGAGTCCTACTTCGAACTTGTTTTAGTCTTCTAATTTTTAGTGATGTAGAAGATTTGGAATCCTAATCTTTTGGGTTAAGAATACTTAGAACTCTATATAGTTAACAATTAGTAACATTTTTAATAAAAGATAGAGAGAGATATTTTAGAAAATTCAGCAATTATATGCTTCTTGAGTTGTGTGATGCAATTCTAACCCCTAGGAGTGATGCCTAAGGAACCCTAGGAGTAATTCCTAGTCAAAGTTACCATTTACGGTACTGTTCACAGCATAATTATTGTTCCTGGATACTGTTCACAGATCCTAAACAGCCCCTTTTTTGATTTTATATTGCTATCCAACATCATACCCACTCAAGAGCTAACAAAGCAATGGCAAATGAATTAATATTGAGAATGGTTATATTCTTGAATAACTCCTTGAGTTGAAAATTGCTGGGACTCAGTTCCAAATGATTCAATAGGATTGGGACATTAATTGCCAAACCTCTATTCGGTTCATTGCGTCATGGATCATGCCCACATATACTAACTGAAGGGCTAAAAGAGTGATGAAGAAGCAGATCAGGATTAATGATTGTGAAATTATGAAAATATAGTACTGTGATATTGCGACCAAGTTTATTGGGAGATTAAAGGTTAGCTTAGATCTAAAATAAAATGCTAAGCTCAATTTACATCAGTGCGCCAAATGCTCCAGACCCTGGGCAAAGCAGGTTTAACAGCAGACCAAGTTGTAATAATAAATGCAAGGCCAATGAACATAAGTTGGACAAAATGTAAGACTAGAGAGAGAGAGAGATAGAAACCGTAATATCAGAAGTCCACAGGGTCAAGTTGTCTCGGAGAAGTTGCATGATCAATGTACTATCCTTGTATGATTCCTCACCCAATGTATCCAATTCGGAGATAGCTTCATCAAAAGCCTGCCACAAAAACATGGTTTTTAAACAAAACTAAGGACAAAAATCTGATCACGTCAATTAATCACTTCTCTACAAATTAAATTTTTATATTTTTTACATCATTACAACAATATCCACCAGTAAAGTATCCATAAATGAAAAAACAAAAAATGCTACTAGAATCCCACTTCATTTGAAGCACCCATTTTTCATAACTATCCAAACACATAGATGGATAAACAGTAAAACGAAGTGATCTATTATACCACAGCCGGATACAGAGTCAAATAAATAAAATCAATCAGTGCAAAGGTACCTGTTTCGCAAGGTTGCAAGCACGATCAGGTGAGTTAAGGATTTCGTAATAAAACACAGAGAAGTTAAGTGCAAGTCCAAGCCTTATTGGATGAGTAGGAGCCAGTTCAGCCAAAGCAATATCCTAAATCATCAAAAACAAAAACAAAAACAATCGAGGAGATTTAACAACAATGATGTTTTAATAAGCCACCAAAAAAAAAAAAAGCAACAAAGAAGCACAATGGTCCGCCAACCTGAGCAGACTTGTAAGCTAACAAAGTGCTCTCAGCAGCTTCCTTCCTCTCTGCCGCAGTCTTAAACTCAGCTAGGTATCTATGGTAATCGCCTTTCATCTTCAAGTAAAATACCTTGGACTCGGCAGATGAAGCAGAGGGAACAAGATGGGACTCGAGAAGGTTCAAAATACCATCACAGATCTTGCTTAGCTCAGCCTCAATCTTAGCCCTATAGTCCTTAATTATTGTGACATGGTCCTCATTTCCACGGCTCTCCTCCTTCTGCTCAATGGAAGAAATGATCCTCCATGAAGCCCTCCTAGCACCAATCACATTCTTGTAAGCAACAGAGAGGAGGTTTCTCTCCTCCATTGTCAGCTCCTCAACATCAACAGTCTTAGCAACTTTTTCCATGAACTCAACCATTTCCTCATATCGTTCAGCCTGTTCTGCCAGTTTGGCCATGTAGACATTCTCCTCCCGCGATGTGTCAGTTGGTGACATATTTATTAGAGTTGACTAATATCTACTACATCATAAATTTTAAGCACATCCATCATTAAAATACACGAAATGCACTTACAGTCAGGAAACAAATTTTGCAAAATGCTATCAATCTTAAAAAAATGCCTTTGGGTTATGAACAATCCTCTGTTAAAACGCTCAGATAACGTATTGACAAAATAATGGAAATATTAAGCTTCAGCTAATCCATAAGGTTACAGTGTAGCTTGCATTCATTTTATAAATAATGTTTAGTTCAGATATACTCCACAGTTAGGTTTGCTCAGACATTTAAAAAACTATAGCACTCTAAAACGACAATCCTGAGCTGATAAAAGGATTTATTCTCAGGGATCGCAACTACTTCGCATCCAATAACCATAATCCTCCCTCAGCAACCTAACCGAGGATCACACGTACGGTTTGGTTGCTAAGTAAAATCGTTATACTTACAAACATCAAGTTCCATGTTGTTTCGAATCTTCAAATAGATCGAACTATTATGCTTCATTTGCTCGGAAATAATTTTTCAACTAAACAAATAAAGTAGAAATTAATGATTCAGAAGTTTAAACTCCCATTCTTTGGATGTATACATTTTCTCAGCAACCAAATGGAGCATTAGAGCTTGGAATCTCAACAGATCGAACTGCAAATAGTGTAAATAACCAATTCGACAACCAATTCAACATATCAACGCACAGTCAACGATTACAAACCTACAAGCAAACCAATCATTTTAAAAAATCTAAGATCTAACCTTAACCCTACCTATAACAGCAAAAGAATCGATGCATACCTCTTTTGATACAGCTAATCGATTGTGAAGAAGAAGTTGAGAGAAAGAGAGAGAGAGAGAGAGAGAGAGAGTTGCAGGAGTCTTAAAATGGAATAAATGGTTGTGTGGGGGCGGAGATTGCTATATGAGCTGGCGCTGACCGTCAAAGCCCTCTTTTATCAATTAGCGTTCAGTGTGGTGCGGCGCGGCTGCTGTCACGGCTGGGATATCAGGCTGGCCAGACGAGATGCGGGTAGGACTGGGTGGGACTTTGACGGTCAGCGATTTTGCTATTCCATTAACGACGTAGTTTCGTCAACCTTTGGGCGGTAAAATTCAACACCTATCAATATATATTATGATTAATTGCACTGAAATTCCATAAAATGTAGAGTTTGTCTCATAAACAATACAAACGCAAAAATACTTACCGTTATAAATTTATTAGACTGCGTAGAATTACACTCATTTATACGAATTAGGTTTAGTTACATTAGAGGTCTCTAAAGTATGAGATTTATCTCATTTTAATCTCTAATATTTCAATTGCATCATTTTAGTCCTTAAACTATTAATTTTATTTCTATGTGGTATCTCAAACAAACAACATCTAAATTACTAACGATTTTGTATCATAAATTTATTACGTAATACCTAAATATGAACAAAAATTAATTTAGATACCTCTTAACCAAAATTTGGGTAACTCTTAACAAAAAAATAAGTAATATGGGTGGTTGTTAACTAAAATTTGAATAGCTCATAATTAAAACTATGTAATTTGGATAGTTTTTTGACCAAAATTTGGGTAAAAAATTTAGTTAAGAGTAATCTAAATTTTTTTTTCCTATATTTAAGTATTACGTAATAAGTTTATAATAAAAAAATCGTTAACAATATAGACGATATCTGCATGAAGACCACATAAAAATATATATTCAATATTTTAGAGACTAAAATGATATAATTAAAATATTGGGAAAAAAATAAAACAAACTCCATATTTTAAGGACTTTAAGTGCAATTACCCTTATATATTAATTTAATTGAAACTCTGTCTTTCTACAAAATTAGAGAACGATAATTTTAGACGGAATATGATAGAACATGACAACAAAATTCTAACCTCGATATAAACTAATGGATTAAAATTGACTAATTCTCAATATAAATTTTAAAATGACACAATTTGCTAACACTAACAATAAATATATCGGATAAGTGTCAAATATAAGTAAATTGAACTTGACATGATTAATAAGTATAACTAGTATTGTTTAAATAAAAGAATATAATTATATTTTTTTTATTAAGTATTAGCTGAATCATTGTAAAATAATAAAATTTTATTACTTGTTTTACAATTATATGAATATATTTCATTTTTAATTTATGAAAAAATTATTAGTGTGAGATTAGTTGAGAAAAAATAGCATAGTTTTAAAACCCATTTCAAACATCAACCTGGAGAAGGGACCGGGTCAATAGGTTACTGGTTCAGCCACTGGGTCAGTGATCGAACTGGTGATATAATAAAAAAATAAAAAATAATTATTAATGATGATAGATAGGCTAAAAAATTATAATAATTATAAAAATGACATATTTAATGTATATTAAATCAAAAAAAACACTCAAAATTTATCAAACTAATACATTCAATTCCAATACAATTTGCCTAATCTATTTTTAATCAAATCAAATGATATGCACTTAATTGCATAATTCTTGAAATCAACTTCATAAGAATTCATACAAATCATATTAGATCTAACCAGCACAGAGAGATAGACAGAAGGAGGGAGTACTTGCTATGTCTCAAGATTCTCAAGTTTCAAGTGAAAGCCACAGTGAAGGAGGGTGTTAAGCAAATCGCCAATAAAGATCTGAGATAGTCTTGTCCTGTCTTCATAAGCCAGTAATTTGTTCGAATGTTCGAGTTCAACACTTGATTGAGTGAAACCCAGGACAAATATATATATCTATATAGATATATATATATAGAGAGAGAGAGAGACAGAAAGATATTTTGACACGATTAATTAAATGGAACAACAAAATCTATTGTTCCTTGAGAACATCCGAGGAGCCCCACCTGATGGGACTTGGATCGGGGTAGACTTTAGTATCAAAAAGTAAAAAAAAAATTGTACCATACCACATTCTCAATTTAAACATGACATGTGCTAAGTTATTTTTTTTAATTTAATTTTATCTTATCATTTCCAAATTTAATGACTAAAAATAACTCATATCAAGATATATGATTACAGATCAATTTTTAATATGTTCTTGAGAAGTAATCTTTTGGGTATCATAGTTTGATCTGTGATATCCAGCCATATTTTTAAGTTACAAAAATGTAAGAGGAAAAATTACGTACTACAAGAATGATGAACCAATAATAATTTAGCAACTGAATGACTTGTATCTAACGAAACGAATTGAGTGCATCTCTTTTTATAAAATGAATGAACTATCATAGACTGGAACTTAACTAATTGGAGACATTCCAATACTTAAGTCGATAACGTCTCCAAAGTCAAGCAAGTAGATAAGAAGTGCGTAACCTGTAGACCTAAGCTCATTTTATATTTATGTGTGTCTGACTTTTTTGGGTTTACAATCTTGATTGAAATAAAGTGGCACACCTATTTTTCTACCACATCTTTTCAAATTTGTTATTGAACCTCCCTAGGTTTTATTTCTCATTAGTCGATTTGTTAAGTCACGTTTATAATGTACATAGTCAAATAGGTAGTCTCTTTATCAATTGCTCATGACCGCCTTTGATCATAGCAATAACCTAGCTATCCTTTGTTCGGGGTGGACCTAGTCATTGTCTTCTAAATTGCTAAACCTAAGTCTTATTCGGGCACTTTTTTCTTCAAAGTGTATTCTACACACTTGCTCGTTCCGCACAAACTGCTCGGGGGCATAGCTAATTGAGTCATTTGTTGAGAATGATTCCAATTCTGGTCAGCTAATATTGATACCTGTTCGGTTGGATCACAACCATATGCATTCTATCTTCACCAATTTGGCCCTTTTTATATTGCCATGATCTATATGCCATGTGTCCGTATTAAGTGGTGCAATTAGGCACATAAATATTTTGAACCTCTTCATCTGCCCCCATGTGTGTTTGCAATGTGTTGCTCATTGGTAGACATTCTCTATCGTAACGATGTCCTTCATTAAATGTGTTGCATCATTTTCTATGAAAAGGCGTGTCAAAACATCTCCTCATCGTTAAAACAATCACTTGTTTTTCAAAAAATTATGATATTTTCACTTCTGACGCCATTTCTAACGTTTTTGTATTCTATTTAAAGGGGAACTCCTCTCATTTTTCCTCCATTTTTACATTTCTTGAGTCCTTCATTATCCTTCAAGCCTCCATAATTCGTTTGTTCCCCTTCTTTTCTCTATATTTACCATTCTCCTTGTTTTTTCTATCATGGCCCATCCAAACAAGGACAAAATCTTTGTTTTCTAGGCCAAACATAGGATTCCCAATGACATGTTCATTGTGGTTGTTTAGGAAGATGAACCTCTCATAGGATCTGGAGTGTCCATTCCCATCCCTACACAAGTTATAATCGAGTTTGGAGTTAGGTTTCATCTCCACCATCTTCTTCTTAGAGTTTTTGCCTCTCTAAAACTCTATCCCATCCAATGTTATCCTAACTTCTTTAGGATAGTGATGGGCATCGTTGCCCTCAATGATCTTCTTGGTGTCATTCTTGGCCTTTGGGAGATTCTTTACTCTTATATGATAAAGTTCACTGATAAGAAACTATTACTTCGAAGTAAGGAAGGCACTTTATCTTGTTACCCACCTCCTCAATTCCAACAAGTGATAGGAAAATAATATCTTGTTCATGCTTGGGAATTGGGAGCACAAAGAGGTTGAAGAGCCTCGCTATAGATGCCCCTATGGAGAGGGTGGCCTACGTGATCTCAAAGGCCCTTCTTTTTTGCTAAATTCCTTTATTTTTTACTTCTTCTCTAATTCCCTTCTACCTTGTGCAGGTGAAACCATCAAAGTAAAATTTTCAAAGGAGTTGGTGGATTTAGAAGATTTGTGAAAAATATGGTCTTTAAATACCAACCACTTTTGTCAACCAACTCATGTGCTCGATTATCAAACTACCTACCATTCTTTTATAGTATTTCCTGAGTCCTTTACAACACAACTTGTCGAGCATAGAGAAGATGCTAGGGCCAAAATTGCTTTCATCTCTAGGCCTCAAAAGAAGTTCAAAAAGTAAGAGATGTGTAGAGAGATTAATTAAGAACTATATCAACTTGGTGTTGAACCCTATTCCCTCCATTCCTTTTGAAACTAGACCCTCCACCAAACCTGCTCCTATCCCCATACCAGACGATGATCTGATTGTCCAATTTTTGCAAATTCCTCCATCTCCTCCACCGAACATAACAGTCACCCATGTTCTTACACAGCAACCTGGAGGCAAAACTTCTTCCCCTGATGTCCAAGGGTTGTGATGAAAGTAGGCAATAAAGAGAAATTTTGAAAAAGTCAGATCTTCTTTTGAGGCTGATGATAAGCTTGGAGAAACACTAGGCCCCATCTAACACCTATAAAATCCAGAAAAATTAAAACTTAATTAAAAAGGGGTAAAAACAGTAATTAGTCATTAAAGCACAAGTCAAAAACTCGAATTTTTGTATAACTTGGATGACGAAATGGTCATCACCGTTGGATTTGTCTCACGAAATTTAGTTACACAGTCAATTTTCATTGAATTTCAAAATAGTCAGATTGTTTGCTCATTATGAAGCGATTAGGTATCGCGATCAAATTTTATTTGTGAGACCCAAGAAATAATTTAAATTTAGTTGAATAAAAATATACTAAACTTAACAAGGGTAAGATTTAATTGATTTGGAATAAAATTGGACATGTTAAAATGAGACGTGTGGCGCAATGTGGGCCAAGTATATAAAGGGGCTTGAAATGGGAGAAAGTCTTCCACTCCACTCATTTTTCATCCAAGTTTAAGTAGAGAGAGAGAGAGAGGGCAGAACTTCATTTTCTACATCTTCTTTTTACCTTCTCTATTCGATTTAGCAAGATTCGAGCAAACGACTTGGCTCAGAGTAAGAACTAAAGTTACTCACAACGGCAAGGGCTACGCGTGGGTACCATCCACGGTCAATTATGACACACGAAAAAAATTTGAGTTTTGGCTAGGGGTCGAACAAAGCATCATTGGGTATCATGAGGAGTCGTTCTACCTTGTACACACACTACAAGAGGTAGGGTTCCTTCCTATCTAGATTTTCTT